ACACACACATATATATATATATATATATATATATAGCACAAAAAGAGAAAAACGGAGAATATTAATAAGTTTTATTTACTGCGCATAAACTGAACTGCAAGTGTGTAGAACTCATAAAATAAGTTAAAATATAGAGATTTATTAAAGTAAAATATTTAAAAAAGAAAAATTTAAAAATATGCATTAAAAAGCCGGAAAACAAAACATTAAACTATATAATCTTCCTCAGCTCACACGATTATATCCGCAAAAAGTAGTGCTTTCTAATATTGTATCGAGAGGAGCACTAAAAAAAATTGAAGCAAAATAGAACACATTAAGTAAAAAATATATTACGTAAAAAAGAGAAAATAAAATGTAAAGAAAATACAGAACAAAGCACAAAAAGAAATCTATAAAGCGAGTAGCGAATTCAAATGAACTTACTGGTACTGGAATCTTTCAAGAATGATTTAAAATATATTCTAATAAGATTGCCAGATTACAAAATATGAAAACGGAAGCGCAAATGGAACTAAAAGCGTAAATAATGGAGTTTGTTTCATGGCACGTTCTTACTGTTGTTGTTACTTATTCCACTTGGCCCAGAACAAGGCTAGAGCAAGTCCAGAAGACCGTTCACCGACAGAAAATCATATACCATCGCCGGACCCTTCAAGATAAAATTCTTCTTCAGCCCCATACAGGACAGCAAATGATCAGGTGTAGTCTGGTGCACATACAGGAAAGTCTTTTGACCCTGAACAAATGTTAGTCCGCGGGTATAACCACTGATTAGTCTTGTGATAGCTGTCTGCAGTTTCCTATCACCTTTTAGCTCCAGGGCAACCCCGGGACTATTTAAATCTATTAGGTTAGCCTCGTATAAGACAATCTCACTAGGACAGCAATTACGTAAGCCTGTAATAATCCGTGCAGCACTCAGCTGTATCCTTTCAAGCATTTTTATATTACTAGCAGAAGCTGTCAGTAAAATCTGGAATCCATATTCCAGTAATGGTCTGATGAAGGAGGTTGTCCTTAGGGCTCCCCAGTCCCACCCAGAAATATATTTCAAAAGTCTCTTTCTTGCCCTCTCCACCTGATTGGCGATATGTCTGTTGCAGGTAATCTCAGGGTCAGAAGGAGAAGTGTACAGCTTCTGTTGGTCGAGGGAAAAAGACTGACCATTGCCTTTATGCTTTAGCTGGGTATAGTGGAATGGCTTTTACGCCTTGGGTGACCCATTCCACCCATTCCAACAAGGGCCACGACCCCCCGCCACGATGAGGCTGCATAATAGGACTTGGTGGGGGGGGGACGTTCTTTCTGCAGTACTGAAGCTCTTTTGATTCGTTTGTTATCAAGGATTGGCCCGAAAATTAATGTGCGCAAGGTAATAATATTATTCTGGATAATTTAAAGTTATTTATATTTAATGAGATTGATGTTTAATTATACAATTTTAATGATTTTAGAAAATTAACATTTATTTAAAAAAAAGAGAGAAACATGATTTAACCGTTTTGCACAGATTTTTAGCCTCGGATTTGCCCGAATGGGATGTGAACATGGTAAAAATATGAATTAACAAAGAAGATTTTAGTAAATTTATTAATAATAACATACAATTAACTCAATTATTTTATATAGAATTTAATTACTTTAATTGGGTATTCATTGTTTTTTTTATCAAATTTTAAAAGAGTATGAAAAATGGTATTTAAATAGACGTTTTTAAAAACATTAGAATAATTAGTTTCTTTATATTAAAATCATTTCTTTTATCGTATAAATCAACAAAGCAGTATTAAAAAAGTAAGTTTTCCAAATTCAACCTTATTAATTATAAACTTTGAATTCAGTCGAACCTCGTTAATCGTTTCATACTGACCTAATTTCTTATCCAATACATCATGAAAACAATTTTTTGTGTGCTGTTAATACATGTTACTTTAATGTCTACAAACAAAGTAAGTAAGTGTTAATTATTGTATTTATTTACCCATCTTCAAACAAAAGAAAATAGTCAAAATGAATAGATTTTATTCACATGCTTATTATCCTTTTACGTTAAGCGATAATCAGGTTGAAAATTTCATGTTAAACATGTAAAATACAACAATAATTGATTGCTGACTCACGATGTTTCATGTTAAGCAGTTTAGTGAGGTTCGACTATATTACCTTACGCACCAAGGTCAATCCATCAAACGCGCTTCTGTATTTCAGCGCCATAAAATATACACTATTTACGCTTTTATTTTCACATTTTCTGAAATTACAAAATCCATTGTTTTTTTACCAACTACTGTGCTTCCCATCTATGACATTCTACAGAGCCAATTCTTTCTCTGATATACAATACAATCGTAAATTGCCTCAAAGAATCATTTAAAATCCATATTAGCGAATACGTGAAATGTTTAACATTGTAATGCAATATGTTAAAAATCGATACAAATAGGAAGTATATAAAACGTCTCCTGAATAAAACCCCATTGCATGTATGTTTAAATACAAAAGTATTACATATAATTTCGTGTAACATGTGTAATTATTAAAAAAACTACAGTGTGTCCAATAATGTGGTCTAATTATTAAAATATACTAATATAATACCTCATATAACAAATATTCTAGTTTATACAATATATAGTCTAATTTATCCAATTGTCGATTTTAACCAATTAATGACGAACGATAGCAAATGAAACCAATAAAGCTGATAATTAAGATTTTTATTCTGTTCACTCTGGATTATTTGGT